TATATTCCAGCCATGACGTTGTTCGTATGACTGGCGCAATGGATCCTCCGTATGACATTGACAACGAAAAACAAATGCTCTTGATCCCATTTTACCACTGCTATGGATTCTGTAGGATTTCGCTATTATTTGATGGAGAATTGGCAACAGAAACTTCGTATTTTGATTGAAGGCATGATGATGATTGCAATCTTGAATGGGGCTACATCGGTCATGCTTCCGCATTTCAAACCAGATCTATTCTGTTCAGCAATTCAAGCACATCAAGTAAGTTCTGACTTACTGACTAAGGAGTTCAAAGGTGAAGAAAATCCTTCATTCAAAAAAATTTTTTAAGATACGTTGGCTAGCCGTAGCTCCGCCCATAGTCACATTTCTTGCTAGAAGCCCAATCTGTGAGAATTATGATCTTTCGTGCCTTCAGACGCTTTTCAGTGGATCAGCACCTGCTCCTAAACATATCTGCTACGAAGTGCTTCAGAGGTACAAGAATATCAAATATGTGCAACAAGGTCAGTGATTTCGCAGCGTATAGAAAACAATGGGATGCTCAAAGCTCATACAGCACATGAAACTATATTTTGCAGGATATGGTATGTCTGAGACGTGCATGGTATCACACTTACCTGATATTCGTAATGGACAACCACCTGGAAGCGTTGGGAAAATTGCACCGAATTTGGAAATGAAGGTTTCTATTTTTTTCACACATTGAAGTGAACTTTTGTTTATAGTATGGTTTCAGATTGTGGATCCAAAGAGTGGTGATGTGAAAAAACGTGGCGAAATGGGAGAAGTCTGTGTGCGCGGTCCCACTGTGATGCTTGGATATCATCGCAAACCTGAGATGACACAACATTGCATTAAAGATGGCTGGATGCACACTGGTATGTTAACGAGTGGTTCCAACCTAAATGAAAATTTTTGTAAAATCAAAAATTTGATTGGCAGTTTGCACTTCTCAACATTACGCCAGCCTCGGCTTCTAGGAAATATTGTACAATACGATGTGTATCGCATCTAGGAGCTAAACTGAGAAGCCCAGTAGAATCTTTCTACTTTCATGAGCGTAAGAGAGCGATAACGGGATGATCGCGACTGAATATAAAAACAGCTAGCAGAAATTCCATTGTTTAGCACACAGTCGTCGAAGTGAGATCGAATGAATAGACCTAAATAGGAGGAATTAGATAAATTTGAATAATTGGAGATTAATTGCTAGAGAATTCACATGCGATGCGAAAATGAACCTTTAACTAGTCGCTAGAAGAGAATTAGCAGAAGACTGTGCAGACAGTTAATGGAAGTTTTGGTTCTTTGCAACGGTATGGTTGACTAACAGTTAAAGTTGTCTAAAGCTGGAGAAATACTTCCCCTTATAGATTGTGGGAGCAACAGACATTGACTTGGAATCATGTGTTCGCTCCTCTTGCACAATCAAACAGAATCTCATATGGAGCGAATTTTAAATGTTAGAAAGGGATGGAGCTTGCCATAATTTTCCGATACTATATTGTAGATGCAATTGAAAATATATCAACGCATGTCAAATTAGCGCTTGATTCAGTTCACTTAAACCAGAGAAATTGAAAAAAAAAAACCAGAAAATGTCCGTTGAAAAACTGACCATAACCATCAGCCCTTGTTGTTCATAACCTTCACTTTACTGATCTCCTTATATTCTAAAGAAGCACTTCTACAAAATCTTAACCACACTCAGTGTTCTGCCGGATGATGAGAGATCTGCCAATGAATGAAAAATTTTAATTCTGCTTTTTTTTACGAGAAAATGATGACAAAGTTGTAAGGTTGCATGACTACTCCCTTGAGAGGGGTGCAATTATTTGCTTGATTCTGAAAGACGGAGCTTATAAATATTTTTTGTATCATTATAGTTAACGCTTAAGCCAAACAATAACTCAAGCTCTTTCTTCACGACTCAACGCAGAATAGAACCAGTTTGCGGTTCCAGAGTTTATCTCAAAGATCACAGTGATTTGGAACGAATATCCCTTATCCTTCCGAATAAGAATCTCAGCGAAAAATCTCTGAATTGTGGCACCGAGGATGCCACAAGAGATTGAAATCTTTTTACTAAACTTAAATTTTCTAGTTTTTGCTGTACTGAAACTTACCTTCATTGGCAAAGATGTGAAGAGATGTGAACTTTATTCCCTGCCAAAAGTGTTGTTTAGTAAACTTGTAATCACAAGGTTAACGCCGTAAGAACAGCCTTTCAAGCTAGCCAACTCAGACTTTTTTTTTTGCAAAACGGTCCAAATTTTCCTACAACTCCAATCCCATTGCGACAATATCAGCAGGAGCTGAAAAATCCCCTTGGGAAATGCTCGAGAATTGGTTTATTTTGTTGCTCACTCCCAGGTGTATTCCACATGTCTTAGGTGACGTGGGTTATGTAGACGATGATGGTTATCTCTTTATCGTGGATCGCATAAAGGAGCTCATAAAAGTCAAAGGGTTCCAGGTTACTGTTTCTTTCATTGGCAGCACTGCTCGTTAATTTTAGGAAATATTAAGGTGCCACCGGCGGAACTTGAGAGTATATTGACACAACATCCAGCAATAAGCGAAGCAGTGGTT